CAGCCGGGCTCCCCCCTCGCTGGAATCGAAGAAGAAGAAGCAACGACACAAACACAAACACAAACTTTCGGCGCTCCGCGCGGATTTCTTGCATCTGCGTCGGGACCGGGACCCCCTGGCGGCGCCTCTGGCGCCGCCCCTGGCGCTTTCCGCGCGCCAGGATTCCAGCGCCGATCCAGGAAATCCGCGCGGACCTCGAAAATTTGATGTTTATACCGTTTTTTGTTCCTTTGAGGAAGCCCAGCTGCTGCGGTCGGCGCAGAGATCTCTTCTTCAGCTTCGGCCACTCGCCCTCCGCCTCGGTGAGGCTCCCGTGCATGCGCGCTCCTCACTTCTCACTGCCCCCCCCGGGCTCGCCGCCGAGTGTGGGGAGGGGGGAGGCGACGTCCCGGCCCGGGCGCCCCCCTCGCAGGAAGCCCGACTGCTGCGGTCGGCGCAGGGATCTCTTCTTCAGCTTCGGCCACCCTCCCTTCGCCTCGGTGACGCTCCGGTGCATGCGCGCTCCTCACCCCTCGGACCTGATCTGGCGGGAGGGGGGGCGGCGCTGCGCGTGTGCCTCCTGCCCCTCCTGCCTCCTCCTCCTGCCTCCTCCTCCTTCCTCCTCCTCCTCCCTCCTCCCTCCTCCCTCCTCCTCCCTCCTCCTCCCTCCTCCTCCCTCCTTGTCCTCCTCCTCCTGGTCCCTCCTCCTCCTCCCTACTCCTCCTCCTCCCTCCTCCTCCTCCTGCTCCTCCTCCTCCCTCCTTGTCCTCCTCCTCCTCCTCCTCGTCCTTCGCCACGCTCCACCTCCTCCTCCTCCTCCTCCTCTCCTCCCTCCTCCTCCTCCTCCTCCTCCTCCTCCTCCTCCTCCTCCTCCTCCTCCTCCCTCCTCCTCCCTCCTCCTCCTCCTCCCCTCCCCTCCTCCTCCTCCTCCTCCTCCTCCTCCCCCTCCTCCCCTGCTGCTCCTCCTCCTCCTCCTCCTCCTCTCCTCCTCCTCCTCCTCCTCCTCCTCCTCTCCCTCTCCTCCTCCTCCTCCTCCTCCTCCTCTCCTCCCTCCTCCTCCTCCTCCTCCCTCCTCCTCCCTCCTCCCTCCCCCCTCCTCCCCCTGCTGCTCCTCCTCCTCCTCCTCCTCCTCCTCCTCCTCCTCCTCCTCCTCCTCCTCCTCCTCCTCCTCCTCCTCCTCTCCTTATAAATAACTTCTCCCTGGCGCACCCCGAGGCGAGTTTTTAGGGCGGGCCGGGCGTTTCGTCTAAGACTGGAGGGTCAGTGGTTTTCAAACTGTGGCTCTCGCTTTAGCGCCGTGCACATTCGTCTTAAACAATTGCAAGAGTTTCACGGATTGAGGGCGAGTCGTTTTCACAATGTGGCTCTTGCCTTAGCGCCGCGCACATTTGTCATTAACAATTGCAAGAGTTTCACGGATTGAGGGCGAGTCGTTCTCAAAATGTGGATCTCGCCTTCGCGCCGCACACATTCGTCTTAAACAATTGCGAGAGTTTCACGGATTGAGGGCGAGTTGTTTTCAACATGTGGTTCTCGCCTTAGCGTCGCGCACATTCGTCTCAAACACTTGCAAGAGTTTGCTCGGATTCCCATGATCAGCGTACAAGAAATGGTGTTCTGGAAGGATTCAGGCTTATGAGGGTGCAGAAGTGTTGATTCGAGTTGTTCATGTCCCAGGAATGGCGTTCTGGCGCGATTCAGGATCGTCAAGATGCAACAGTCAGGTTGATCCGTGGCGTTGGAATGTCGAGCACAATGTCTGGGAAACAGTGTGTTCTGCCGCTGCTAGCGGAAAATCGGGGGGTCACTACCGGTTCGAACCCCTCCCCCCCCCCCTCCGGAAAACCGGGGGGGGTCACTACCGGTTCGAACCCCTCCCCCCCCCCCCCAGTTCATCATGAAAAGGGGGGGGGGTCACTACCGGTTCGAACCCCCCCCCCCCTCGAGCTCGAAAACCGGGGGGGGGTCACTACCGGTTCGAACCCCCCCTCCCCCCCCCCTCGAAAACCGAGGGGGGATGCGGACAGTGGTGGGGACGGTGGTGGTGGGGACAGTGGTGAAGGGACAGCGGGACAGTGGTTGGGACAGTAGTGGTGGGGACAATGGTGAGGACAATGGTGGGAACAGTGGGGACAGTGGGACAGTGGTGGGGACGGTGGTGGTGGGGACAGGGGTGTGGGGACAGTGGGAATGTGGTGGAAACACTAAGGCAGTGGAGGGTACAGTGGTGGTGGGGACAGTGGTGAAGGCGGTGGCGAGGACGGCGGTGGGACAATGGGACAGAGGTACAGTGGGGACAGTGGTAGGGACAGTGGGGACAGTGGTGGGAACAGTGAGACAGCTCAGTGGTTCGAACTGGTTGTGACCCCCCTCTCCGGTTTTCGGGGGGGGGGGGGTTCGAACCGGTAGTGACCCCCCCCCGGTTTTCGAGCTCGAGGGGGGGGGGGGTAGGGGAGGGGGGGGGGTTTTGCCGGGGGAAATTGGTGGTGGGGGGGGGGAGGGGTTCCAGCAGGGAGGGGGGGATTTTCGGAGGGGGGGGGGGACCCCCGGGTTCCGGAGGAAAAGGGCGGCAATTTTCCACAGTAAAGCGGCGGTGGATCACGCTCTCTCATGTCTGGGCATGCTTCAGGGTCTTCAAACAGTTGTTTTCCAACGAGGCAGTTCCTTCAGTAAAAATGAACCGTTGTATGGGCCTATGAAGAGGGAGCTTGGAGGGAGGACGTATTCCAACATTGTTGATGTCTCTTGGGTTTACACTGGTCCTCCTCCTCCTCCTCCTGCTCCTCCTCCCTCCCCCTAACCCCAGCAGAATCCCCTGGATGCGTTTCCCAGGCCCCCCGAATCCCTCTTCCGCAGGATTCGGTGGGCTCCCTCAGTCCCGCCCTCAGGCCTTCCAAAAAACCATTCGAATCTCCGCTTCCTGTTGCTCCTCCTCTCTCGCCCCCTGCCCCTTCCCTGCTGCGGCTCCTTGTACTCCCTGTCCCGAATCCCTTCTCACTGCACCGGAACGGGTTGAACTCCCATCCCTTCCTCCCTCTTCCCTCCCTCTCTCCCTCTCTCCCTCTCTCCCTCTCTCCCTCCTCGATGCCCCTCCCTCCCTCCCTCCCTTCTCCTCCCCCTCCTCCTATTTCTCCCTCCTCCTGACCCCCCTTCCTCCATCCCCCCCCCCCACCATCCTCCCTCCATCGTTCTTTCTCTTCCTCCTCCTCCCTCCAAGGTGGAGGTTCGACTTGTTTATTCTGGAAGCTCTCTGGGAGTCATGTTTTCTTCATCTGGAAGGTTTTGTGAGGCTCTCGAGCCTCCGGCGTAGATGCAGATGTAGGCAGAGGAGGAGGATGGTCAGTTGGAACATGCAGAGGATGAATAGGGCAACCACATGTACAACGAATTGGTGAGGAGGATAATCAGGAGGGTAGGTAGAATGAGAGCTAGTTTGTATTGTAGACTCCATGTTATTAAGCACTCTGCTGTGGTTGACTCAAGTAGGTAAATCCGTCATCTGACAGCACCCCGAAAACATGTACTCTCGCTTGTTACTGAGGCAACAGAACACAGCTCTATTCTCGTTGATGAGACAACAGAACAGAGCTCTGTCATCATCAGTGTTGTTTGCAGAACTTGCATGGGAGCGTTGCGAGATTGTGGCGAGACCTGTGCAATGAATGCGAACTACACGTCAAGAGTGTTGCGCGTACAACGGGCCATGTTTGAAGTTCATTCTCTGTCTGCATAACAGCAGGGTAACTATCATTTTATCAAAGCTGCTCGCCAGGCCAATCACATCGGAGCGGTAAACTACATCAGTGGGTGAGAACAAGCCGGTGAAAAGGATATGTTCAAAGAACACGCAGTCATGTTAATGCGAATGTTTTGGGCCAGTTGCAGGTCGGCTTGTGTAGCGCTCCCGGTTTGCCTGTAGGCTGGCTGACTCGCATTGTGCCCCTTGCAAAGGCGTGAGTTGCGGTGATTGTTTTTCATTGAACAACGTTGACGCGAATGTGTGGTACAGCAGATGCTGCATTCCTGAGTGTGTGGGGCGTGAAGACACGAACCAAGTCAAATTGAGAGTTGCAGGACCAACACATCTGATTTAAACACATCAGGCTGAACATCAGTGATCCCGAGGGGAACCCCAGAGAAATGACAAGCGAAACAAGAACTGTTGCAACCAACGGACAAGAAGCGAGTCAAAGGCAGTTCTGGCGTGAAATATTTCAATCATGAGAAGTCAGAATGTTGTGAACGGAGTGATCGGCGACTTCATGATTTGGCACAGGTGAACTTTGGAGGCTGCCAAGCGCTTAACACGCGAAATGCCAAGCTGGAGGCCGTGGGCGGCGCAGTACTTGGCCCGAGCGGAGAAGGTGGCAGCATCATATTGCTGAGTGGTAAACTCACCGCGGCAGAAAATATATCAAATCAGCGGGGGAGCGGCAGTTGCAATAAGACGGAATGAAACATTTCGACGGAATATCTGTGGTTCGCATGCGCTGGCAAGTGGGAACATGCAGAACATCGAGGTAGCTTGCATGGTCGGCATGAGGGAGACACACTGTTCGCTTACATGATGTTGTACAAGTGGCATTCTTCAGCCACTGAGGGGAGCATTCGCTGCCGAGATGATCTTGCCGATCGTGGCCCACGCATGTGAATGGCTTGGCGACTAGCAACAAGACTGCTTCAAAGTCCAGAGTCCCTCGCCGTCGAGCCATGCCACAAGTCGTATCTCAAGGGCGCGGAACAGGCCCGTAAATAGAGGTCGGGCGCTGACGCAGAGAACATTGGCGCGATGAACATTGGGGGAGTGGGCCAAACAAATGATCAGCCAAACGGCGTGCCAGGCTGTGGGGCAGATAGTCCATCCAGAGTTCCGATGAAGAAGGATATTTGTGGTAAGATGAAAGCGACGACGCCCAGTATTGGGATGGGTCAGGTTGCGGTGGAGACGACATTGACGCAGTCAGTAAGGCGAGAGGTACAGGGAAGACCACCTGCTACACGTGTGGAAACATCATGTGCACATGGCCCTGGGTTGCCGACCCAAAGGTCAAGGCGCATGGACCCCCCCAAAGGGATATGCACCCAAATTGTTAGAGTGGAGGTGTGAAGAACACTTGCGGGGATTACATCGGGCCGTCGAGGCCAACGGCTGCAGGTTGCGCCGCAGACGGAGGTAAAGGGAATCTGACAAGTGTGGACAGAAAGGTCACCTGGCGGCCACTTGCCCGCGTGTTGCAGACGCGGCGAGCCGAGGCCAGACAGGGGGGCGCCCCCAAGAAGTACGCTCGGTCAGCCGCGACCCGAGACGGGCCCAGGCTGTTGTTTGGATCCACCAGACAAGCACCGTGGGAAGTATTTTGCCGCATGCGCAAAAGACCAGCACGGGCGCGGCGAAGAAGCTGGCCATATTTGTCCACCGTTGCAGCATGCGTGGGCGACGGATGCCGAGCGGAGTGGATTATGCTGCAAATAGCTAGGGTGCGGAGCCACCAAACCCGAAAGACATGGTCCATTTGCGGTGGCCAGGGGCAGCAAGTCATGGTCGGGGATGCGAAACGAAGGCTTATTAGCCGAGATGAACGGCAAATCGGGCGAGGTAAACGCAGCGTCCGCCGATGATCCAACGCCGAGTAGTGAGACCGTGGTCGTAGTCGTGGACTCGGGGGCGCGCGGCGCCGCTGGCCCGCCGTGTGCTGGGGCTCGCTTGCTCGTTGGGCCGGCAGAGGCGGCCAGTGATAGCGTCGCCAGGGCGCCACATGTGGAACAGTAGTGATGAAAAAGCGGTCAGAGAGTCGCAGTGGGAAGAAGCGGGCATGGGGGCCAACGTAAGCATGCCTATTCAGGCGGCAGATGGAAGGGGGGCGTTGGGTTTAGCGCGGTGCATGGTTTAAGCAGGCAACCGAATAGTTTCTGGCAGAGGCGAGCGCGGGTGTCCCCGCGGGCACCTGGGGCGCGGGCCGCGCGGGGAAGAATTGAGGCGCGCGAGTGTAATGGGAACGGTGCAGTCGCCGCCCATTTGCCCAGTGCCGAAGTGGGGCCAGTCAGCCAGTGCGATACGTAAGCGGCAATTCGGATTGTCCAAGGCAGGGGGTCTTTCGGGGGCCTTTCCCGCGGCCCCGAGGGCGCCGTGGGCCTTGGTGGCGGGCGCGGGGGCGTCGAGTCGGCGACGCAGGAGAGAGCGATGGGGGGAAGCGAGGGGGGCCGTGACGCGAAGAGGCAGAGGATGCTTTCATCAGCGAAGAAGCTGGATTATAGACAGGACCGAGTATGGCCCTCGTCCCAGCGCGGTCGAAGTTGAGCCGCGCAACAAATTTCACGCGCCACGCAGAAATGAGCGACCGCATTGCGTCGGGGACAATGCGAGGAGGAGGGCGTGCTGGAAAGAGACGGAAAAGCTGGGTGGAATGCCAGTGATTCCGGCTGGTTGCGCGCAGTTGGGAAAACGCTCTGGCGAATAATTCAGCCGCGTGCGCTAGCTTCGCGGGCGTCGTTTTCGGTGGGGCTTCCTGTGGGGCGCATGTCGCGCCCGCGGGGGCCTTCTGTGGAGTTCCCCGTGAGGCCGAGAAGCGCTTTGCTGGGTGGTGGAGACGCGCGCGGCCGCTGTCTCTTGGGTTTTGGGTGTGGCTCCCTATGAGGCCACTGGGCGCTCTGCCGGGCGGGAAAGGCGCGCTCTGCCGTGGGTGCTGGGTTTTTTGGTGGAATTGCCTCCGGTGGGCCGCGGTGCGACGCGTCGGGCGAGTGAGGCGCATGCCGCCGCGAGGCGCTCGGTGGAGCTCCTCGTGAAGTCGCGGATCTCCGTGCTGGGTGTGCATGCGGTCGCGGCCGCTGGGGGGGGGGCATTCAGTGGAGCTCGCAATGGGGCCGCGAGGCGCTGTGCTGGGTGTGCCAGGGGGAGGGGAGGGGGCGCGTGCGGCCGCGGCCGCTGGGGCCATCGGTGGAGCTCCCAACGGCGCCGCGAAGCGCTGTGCTGGTGTGTGTGTCTGTGTGTGTGTGTGGCCGCGGCCGCTGGGGCCTACCGTGTGGCTCCTTATGCGCTGCGCTGTGGGGCAGGTGCACGCGGTCGAGGCCACTGCGGCCTTCGGTGGAGCTATCGCAGGGGCTGCGGGGCGCTGCGCTGGGCGGGGGGGGGGGGCGGATGTGGCCGCGGCCGCTGGGGCCTGCGGTGGATCTCTTCAGGGGCCGCGAAACCTTGCGCAAGGGGGGGGGCGCAAGTGGCCGCGGCCACTGGGGCCTTCGGTGGAGCGCCCTATGGGGCCGCGAAGCGACGCGCTGGGTTGGGGGCGCGTATGCGGTCGCGGCCATTGCGGGTTCTGGTGGGTTTCCCTTGCGTGTGCACGGGGAGCCGCGAAACCTTGTGCTCGGTGGAGGGGGGAGAGGAGTGAAGGAGAGGGGGGAAGAGGCGCGGCGCTTTTCCCTTCTAGGCGAGTACGCAACGCCACAGTCTGTCGGATCCTGAGGAGGGCGAGCGAGGGAATCTGGAGCAGGCAATGCGTGGCAGGCGAACCGGGTTGACATGGAATCGGCAGCTATTCAGAGGGTGGGCAGTTGTTCGAGTGGAGGACATGATTGCGCTGGCGGGGCGTCGCAGGGCAACGCCGCAAAGCGGCGGCGTTGCGTCGAAGCCCGGGCGGGGAGGAACGAGGGCGCCGGGGGGGCGGCCGAGAGGTCCATTAACCGTGGCAACAACGAGCTGGAGCGTGTAAGAGACGCGGGGGAGGGAGTCGACGAGGTAACACATGGTGGGACCTGTCGGATTTCGGAACGTCTCCCTAAACGAAGTCGGCCGGCACAACGACTATTGCGGAATGGTCATTCAGGCTGAGCCCGATTTTATGCATTGGCATTCTTTACCACCCGCAGGGGATTGAAGGAGTAATGGTGGATGCTCTGACGTTAGGTGACGCGTCGCAGAATATCACCATCGTGACGAATGTGGCCAGAGGCGACGTTGATATCTCGGACCTGAACGATTGCCCGCCGTTGGCTCCCGCCAGAACGGCGGCGCTGGGGGCGCCCCTGGCATTGCCGGCGGCCAGAACTGGGGGCAAGATGGAGGGCGGCCGTGCTCGGAGTGAAAGTGCAAGGTCGCCCGATGCCGCTCGCCCCGCCGACGCCGACCCAGCCGGGACTTGCGTTCAGGGCGGGCCTCATCGCGAACCCGAAGTGGCCAGAGATGGATGCAGGTTGCCTCCCGCGCGGCCTCGCGACAGTCAGATCCCCGCGCGCCAATTGCTTCAATCCTGTTGTTCGCAATTATTGGCGTCGCAAGATCGCGGGGTGAATGAAGTGGCCATCGGATCCGTGACCTGGGCAAGGTGGCCGACCAGTCCATCGCCGCCAGCGACGGCGGCAACTGCGACCGCTCGCGTGCGTTCCCGTTTGGAGACGCGTACCGGATATCACCGAAGAAATTCGTTGAGGGCCCGCAGGCCAGGTGAGATGTCGTCGTCGGTTAGTGGCGCGCAGAGCACGGCTGCTGGGTGACCTTCCTGCGTGCGATGCAAGGTCTCTGCCCGGATGGCGTCGACTGTCGCCTGGGCCCTCAGCTGCCAATCGACCACCCGCGCGGAGTGACCGTTCGGCCCATCGTCGAGAGCGCACAGGTTTGCGGAAGTGACGTCCTTGGGCCCCGCGAGCAGGAGTGCGTGAACGCGTGGCGACTTGTGCGGGCATGCTTTGGCCAGGTGGCTCAGCCGTGATCGGCGCCCCGTGTCTCTGCAGTGATGGGGCGGCGCAGGGCCCGCGCGGCGCCCGCGCCTCGGGCGCCTGGGCGCCGCGGTTTCTCGCCGAGGAGTTCGCCGCCGAGCTCGTATTCGTCGCTGGTGGAGCAGAGAGATATCATGCCGACGCGATGGAGCGGTTGCGGGCTTATCTGGATCGGGAAGCGGTGGAATCACCACAGGTAGTCCGGTACCAAACCATGGTCGAAGCGAAGACGCGTGACCAGCAGAAGCTCCACTCAGTCGGTGCCCGTGTCAAGCGTGACAGCGCGCGGGTGCGCCCCGGCCCTAGTTCCATGCCCCGCGGTGCGACGAACAGATTTTTCAGCTGGCGCGCCTGCCAGGCCTTGGCCACCCATTATGGTATAATGACCAGAAGTGCGCGTTGTGGACCCTCGCCCTGGTGAGGAGTATTGAAAGACATGTGACGATCGCGGGGGCCGCCGCGCAACGCCCCTGTTGCGTCGCCCAGAGTGCGCGTTCGGGGCCGCCGTCGGCGGTGGCCACCCCATTATTAAAAGCACAGCGATTAAGGAGTTGACGTGGGTAGCCGACATCGTAACGCTTGGAGCAGGCGTCGGCGACGACGAAGAAAGCTACGCGTTCGACGGTGATCAAGCCCCGCTGCCACGTGACAAGGTGCACGTGGAGGACAACCAGGCACAGGCCACAGCAGCTGTGAAGGGTAAAGAGGAACGTGCGGGATCTCGGTCGAATCGCCCAGCGAACAGGTGAGTGAGACATCGTTCTCCCCTCTTCTCCCATTGTAGCGCTTGCGTTGAGGGCCAAACACTGGAGTAGCAAGTATACGTAGTGCGGGGGTCCCGCCAGAAGTAAACTACGTCTTGACCCGCGCAGGCCTTACTCCAATTCAGTAGCCTTTCAAGTTGCTCAGCGCTTGAGTCTGCTTCAAGTATTTCCGCTCGTAGCAACTTCGACTCGGATGTGCAGGTCGAGGGGGGGTGCTTGTATTAGAACCCAGTGTTGCTGAGCATTCTCTGGTTTTTGGCTCAACTATTCAGTCTGGCAGCAACGTCAAAGGTCAGTCGTGGTCTGTCGTCGAAGTTTGGCACAAGTATTAAATCTGTCGCGGTCCGCGGGCCTCGAAGGCGGATGTGGGCTTAGGTTTCGCGTCGGTTCCCGCCCGTTTCATTAGTTTCTGGTCAACGTGCGTACTCCCCTACTGTATATAGGTTGGCGTGTGCGGTGTCCCCGTTTTTGATGGGCAGTTCTTGCGATTGTAGTGGGTGTTTGTCTTTTCCGCTCGTCGTCGTCGTCGTCCTCCCCTTCCTCCTCGTCCT